CTCTCTCTCTCTTCTCACACACACATATACACATACACAAACATACACACACTCACGTTTTATTTTCTCTCTCTTTTATTAACGTCGTTCGTTCATGCAACCCAGACGGCAATCAAGATCATTTGCGTTTACGTAAGATATAATTATTATAATACACATTAATTTCTTTTTTTTTTCTTCTTCTTCTCCTTCTCCTTCTTCTTCTTCATATTCTTATTTTTATTTTTATTCATCAGTTTAATATTAGCGAGCAAAGCGTTTTTCGTGTGTCTTTTGGGCGTATGCGCGCGTCTCGAGAAAAAAAAAAAAAAATCATTAACAATATGTATTATCAAAAATGTTTCCTATTTTTTTTTCCTTTTTTTTATTTTTTAATTCTTAAGGGATTCCAGTCCTCGTCCTTTGGTTATTATTATCATCATTATTATTATTACTATTATTATTATTATTTATTATTATTAATATTATTAATATTATTTTTTAACAATATTCCTATATAATATTTAGATATATTTATTACTTAACATTGCATAAATCATATTTAAGTACTCGAAAAATAATTATATTATAATATTCATTATGTACGGATGAAATAATAAAACAAATAAAAATATGCGTGTTTATGCTACGAGTCTCTCTCTTTGTATGTGTGTGTGTGTCGCGTATGTGTGTTCATGGTTCTGTCAAAAAGAAAGAAAAAAAAAGAAAACTCAAGGAACGGACGAGAACTTTTTTCCTTTTAATATTTTACAATAATTTTTGTTTTCTTTTTTTGTTTGTTTGTTTGTTTCTTTCTTATAACCAGGCGTCGAATTTTTCTCGAGACAGAAGCACGACGGGCGTCCCGTTGACAGAAAAAAAATATAATTGATTTCTTTTTTTTTTTTTTTTTTTCATCCCCCTATTCTTTATACTTTTCTTCCTTTTCTTCTTCTTCTTCTTCCAAGTTTATTTTTCGTTGTCATCGTCGTCTGGTGGTTTCTTTCGATAAACTATTCGCGTTTCCCCATTAAAATTATTACAAATAATCCCATAATACAAACAACCCCCTGTTTAGGTGCTCGACTAACTAACTAGCTCGACAAATTGCCACATTGACTATTTCTTCATTTATTATTATTATTTTTTTCTTTTCATTATTTATTTTATTATAATTAATATTATTTATTATTATTATTATTATTAATA